CAGTGGGATTGGGATCCATCCCTGGTGCATGAGCGGGCTTTTTGGAGCCCAGTGCCTATGGTGAGACACCTTTCACAGCCTTGGTACATGGGGGAGGGGCTTGGACCTGCCTCAACTGAATGTACCAGGCTCTGCTGACTCCCCATGGGAAACCTTGGCCTTGGAGGAGGTGGGAATGGGGGGTAAGTTGTGAGGAGGGAAGGCTGGGGAGCAGGAGGGAGAAGAGGGGGATCTGTGGTTGGTATATAAAATGAATAGAAAATTTCTTAGTAATAAAAATGAAAAAAAAAATTGAGGCCTGGAGAAAGAGCTCAGTGGTTAAAAGTACTAGCTGTTCTTTCAGAGGACCTGAGGTTCAAATGCCAGTAGTCACCTCAGGCAGATCACAGCTATGCCTCTAAGGAGCCAATGACCCTGGCGCCCTTGGGTAGTGTGTTCACATACACATAACGCCAAACAAATCTTTTTTAAAAAGGTTGGCTGAAAGGCTCAGTGGTCATGAGCACTTGCACACACATAGGGTAGCTGAGAACATCCTACCACTCTAGCCCCGGTGGATCTGGGGTCCTCTTCTGGCCCCTGTGGGTGTCCACACAGGTACACATACATACTTCAAAATTGTTTACCTTTATAAATACAAAGAACCCAAGATGAAATCAGGTCTGGTCACAGCAAAGGGGTGATGATTCCACAACACTCCCAACAAAGCCTGGACCAGCAGGCGATACTGCCACTGGCCAACCAGGAAACTCGACTTCAGCATGGCTAGTTGCCTAAAGCATGTGTCACACACAGTACCACATTCATTCCTAGGTCTCTGCTAAGTCAGGAGGCAGCAGCCAGGAATGTAGTCTTTGTTCAAACCGTATTTCAGAGCCACAAAACAAGTCTGGGGGTCCTGCTTTTGTTACTTACAGACAGGCTCTCCTTGAGTAACCCAAACTGACCTGTAATTCACAATCCTCCTGCTTCAGCCTCCCCAGTGCTGGGATTATAGGCCTGAGTTCCCAACCACCAGGGAATGGTCTCCTTTATAGTTTCAATAGATGACGAAGGAACAATGGAATCTTTTAACTTTTAAATACCCTATTACACTTGTATTTATTAATTCTATTTATGTGTCTGTGTAAGTATGTATGTGGGTTTCAGGGACTGAACTCAGGTAATCAGGTTTGGAGGATAAATGTTTTTACCATTGAACCATCTCATTGGTCCCCCACAAAGCTTTCTGTAAATAATTGTGTGTGTGTGTGTGTGTGTGTGTGTGTGTGTTGAAGCCAGAGGACAACTTGCAGGCACTGGTTCTCTCCTTCCACCATTACCGGTTCAAGCACAGCAGGAAGCTGCCTTTATCCACAGACCCACCTCACCGGCCCCATGGAACTTTTATAAACATCTTTTCCACACTCCCAGCTTTGATTTTTAGCCATTGAAAGCTTAAGCAGAAAGGTGGGGCAACTTTATAAAGGCATCATTCTAACTCGCCCTAACCCACTATTCGGCTTGGTATCCCTACTGGCCAGAAATAGCAGGAGGAATTCACCCTTATTCCAGAAAAACTGAACCCAAATCCACCTTAAGGTTTTAACTCAGTTCAGTAACATGGATCAGAGACAAGGGCAATAAGCCCCAAGCTACAGAAGCAAATCTTACCCAGGGCAAGGGCTCTTCAATGAGTGTCAGTCAGTGCACAGGAGAGGGGTTGGGGGGGGCATGTAGCTCAAGAAACCCACCACCTGATTTACTAATGTAGCTCCTGGCTCCTTTGACTAAACAGTAATGGGCCTTCCATCAGAGATACTTTTGAAATGCCATAAAATACACAGACTGGAAGAGGTTGATAGTGAGTGACACTGGTCCCACAGGGGCTGTGACCCAGGTTCAATTCCTAGCACCCATGTGGCAGCTCACAACCATCCATAACTTCAGTTCTGGGGTGTCCCATGATCTCTTGACTGCCTTGAACAGCAGGCACACATGTGGTACATACACATACATGCAGGCAAAACACTCAAATATAATAAACCTAAAACATTTTAGTCTGTATCTGCTAGGAATGCACATTCACATAGTTCAGAAATAAAATTTTCTGTTTGCTTCCCAAAAACCTAGGAAAAACCGAACACGTCATCTCAGGACTTGGAAAGCAGTGGCAAGAGAGCAAGTCTGAAGCCAACCTGAGCCACAAGCGAAGTCTGACGGGTCTGGGCTGTCCAGTGTACAGAGCCGGTCTCAAATAAACCCAGGAGTGGTGGGTCTGGGCTGTCCAGTGTACAGAGCCGGTCTCAAATAAATCCAGGATCGGAGGGTGGAAAGCACTAAATGCTCCCAAACCCCCACCCCTAACAACACAACTAAACCTCCAGCTCGGTATGTAAAAGGCACTCACTACCTGGCATACAGGTCGGGTCCCCAAGCCCTTCTACGTGGTGGAAATAAAGAACCAACCCTTGAAGGTTGTCTTCCAACCTCCACATGCATACCATGTTGCATGTACCCCGACACAAAATAAAAATAAGACTTAAAAAAAGAACAAGTGGGAGAGCCGGCCAGCCCCGGAGCACGGAGCACGGAGCACGGAGCACGGAGCACGGACTGCTCTGGCCAGGACTCTGAGGACAGGGCTCTGTACCCGGCACTTATGTGGTGGCCTCACAACCATTCATAACATCAGTTCCAGGGAATGCAACACCCTCTTCTAGCGTCCATGGGCACAGACAAAAAGTTTAATTTTTTTTTAAGTAAATAAAACAAGCAAAAGTTAAATTTAAAACAGGAACCAGGGCCCAAAGCCAGCAAGATGGCTCAGTGGGTAAAGCCATCTGCAGGCAAGCCTAATGACCTACCTGAGTTCAGGTCATTTTCTCCTTCAGGGCCCCACAGGGAAGGAGAAAACCAACCCTCAGAAGTTCACACACACACACACACACACACACACACACACACACACACACACACACACACACACACACACACACACCGGGGGGGGTAACTGCAGTTGGGATGTAAAATAAATAAATAAATAAATAAATAAATAAATAAATAAATAAATAAATAAATAAAGAAGAGAGGGAGAGAGAACGAACCAGGGACACAATAAAAACCAGAACACCAGAGCTGTAAAACACCAAATCTATATTTACATCCACATATAACATAACTTTAAGCTGAAATATGTCATAAATAAGGCAGGTCTACGGTCTGACAGCTTAAGTACCAACAATTAAAATAACTCAAACCGGAATGAAATAAATACATTAACAAAAACCCAACGAACTGTACCTCTACCACATGTACTGTTGCCGCAAAGGAGAGACGCAGGAAGCCAGTAGTGTCCCGAGAGTTAATACTGATGATAAGAACACACTGTGAAGTACAAGGGCTGTTTATAAACAAACAAACAAACAAAACCTGGAATTTTTATGCATTCAGAAAATATAACTAGAGAAATCTGAAAGCCCCCAAAATTTCAGCATTACACACATTGACTTGTTTTCTAATAGATTTGGTGATTTTTTTTTAATACAGGTTTAATTTTGCCCCCCATTGTATATAACCTCCCCCCTCAAGATTTACATTTATCATCTCTGCGAGCTTCCTGGATACTCGCTGGATTTAGGCAAAGATTGAGTCAATCATCTTGCAAATGTGTTAATCTTCAAAAATAGGCTATAAAAGTGCAGAACCTAAGAAAACAGTCTAGATTATGTACATATGGCTCAGCTTGTGGACGGGAACAGGGCCTCGTGTACATGTTCTTGATACAAAAGCACTTTCTGCAAGAGCAGACACATCTCAACCCGGGTCTCCCTTCAACACAGGAGGTCTAGTCTCCCTTAGGGACCGTCCACAGGCCTCCCAAGGACCCCCATGTCACATAATCAGAGTGGGAAGAGCCGGGGTTCTTTGAGCTCTTCACCCTTCTGTCCTACCGAGGGGGAGGGGTAAGGAAAGGGAGCAGTGCAAATTCACCTTTGAAACAGTTTCTTAATAAAATACTTTGGGTTTGCTAAACCCAAAAACTGTTGGAGAAACTCAAGGCATCAAAGGAACTCAAGTTTAAAACGTCCAGCAAGCCAGCTGGTGGCTGTCTTCCCTCAAGCCCAAGCTGCCTGTGCACTGAGGACATCACCCTGGCCAAGAAACAAAGAAAAGGAGACGAGGGGACTACAGCAGCTCTTCTCTCCCTGCCTGCCAGGAGGCTCAGTCAGCACTCAAGGTGTTCACAATTCACACCAGACACACCAAGACTCCAGATACAAACTAAAACTCTCCCCAAACCTTTCACTCCCTTTAAAATTGCTTCCCAGCATGCAATTCACACAAGGAAATTTGGCATATTTGTCTAGACTTAACCCAGACAACTCTCCAAGAAACTGACTCTCACAACAGAAATGAAGGACTGAGATGGCCCCCATGGAGCCTGGCTCTGCCCCCTACAGAGCGATGGCTTCTCTGTAGGCACATTTGCTCAGAAGCGTCACAGGCCACCCAGGGCAGGATGCTGGGGTTCCAGGACAACCTGTCCACAGGAAGACAATGTTTTATCTTCCTCATTGACTACCTGATAACAGCTGACTAAAGGTGCCAGGTTCAGTCCTGCTGACTTGAGATGCACAGCCATCCTCAGAGTGCCAACACTTCCATCGGCAATTGTGTGAGGACAAACAATAGACTGTGGAGGACAACATAATACAGGACAGGGAGGACTTGCTTTAAAACACACTTTAAATGAGAAAGCATAAAGAAGCAGAAACTGCTCAAGTCACTGAGCTCCATGAGGAAAAGAAATACACACAGTACTTCAGCAAGTTTACAACGTAGGTATTTACATTTACCTGAGGTGCGAGCCTTACAACAGTCCCCACCCGTCCCCACCCCACCCCACCCCACCCCACCCAAATGATTTCTTTTCAGCAGCGCTCAAGTATGCAAAAACTTATTTGGTCAATTATTTAAAAAAATATTTAGGGACAAAATAGATTTGCAGTCCCCATCCATTCGTGTACAGCCCAACTGCTCCCACTAGTTTTTATTGCTATTTGGTACAAAAGTTAATAGAACTTAGGAGAATGTAGTGTTCTTCTCTGCTCTGCGAGTCTATGTACAATACAGTCACAGCTTGTTCAGTAGCTCTCATCACGTGCTCTCAGAAGATGAACCAAAGTGTGATTCCGTGGAAAGTGTGAACTTGCATTCAGCGAGACCTAAGGGGAAAGAAACGGTTGAAAGCCATTAGGACAAAGCACACCGGTTGAGGATCCGAAGAAATAAGCTGGAGAAATGGCCCTACAGTTAGTCGCCAGGACTGGCTCTTCCAGAGGACCCACGCCAGGCAGCTCACAATGTCTAGTTCCAGCTCCAAGGGATCAAATACCCTCTTCTGGACAGGAAGAGCACCTGCACTCACATGGCATTCACTCACAGATGCACACATCAACAAAAGTAATACTATTTTCAACATACATTGAGTCAACTATGGGATACTACAAGTAAAGGATTCCACTTAAGCTCCAATTTCCCAATCAACACAGCTAGAGACTACGTTATGTGTTGATGGACTACTACGCGGGATGAGATAATTACACCAAGAACCAGAACCCAGTACTCAGGAAGGGTTACCCAGTGTTAATGGCTCACTTCTGTAATACCAGGACTGAGGAAACTGAAACAGGATCCCCAAGTTCAAAGCTGGCCTACGCTGTACAGCAAGACCCTGTTCCCTACTTGCAAAAAGGAAAATCAAACTGGTGCTGAGCAAAAGCCCCTATTCCCTGAAGCTGGAGCATCTTCTCACCTCTACATCACAGCTCCATCCACATGCACATGGGACGGTTTCATGGGACTCACCTGAGAGGCAGCCTCCTCTGTCCAGGAGCACCATCTAAGCCATTTAACTGCAGTGCTCAGGTAATAAGTCCTCAGCCTACGAGTCAGCCTGGCATGGCAGCTGCCCAGGCTGTGACATCTAAACGGACAGCCATGCAGTGCTAACAATGCCCCCCTGAGCTCAGGAAGCTGCCACTCATACACAACGGAACTGTTAAGCCGAAAGTCAAAACACACCTCTGCTTACCCATCCCCAGTTCCCTTCCCAGAACAGATAAGGACTTCAGAATGCTCTGATCAGCTCTGAACCAAGAAGGCAGGCACAGGTTCAACTCTGTAGACCCAAGACAATGCCAGGCAGAAGCAGCTGGACTCTGGGAAGCCACACAGGCCAAGCCTATCTCCTCAGGCTGGCTTGGAGTCTGTCTTCCAGCCTCAGGTCAGGAACCTTGTCCATCTCCAGCAGAACTATGGTAACCCTTGGTTACTGGGTTACACGCCCAATTTTGTGCTATAGCAGGAGGGCAGCTATGGAACTATGAGTAAACAAATGGGTGTGGCACATCCCAATCCAACCCCTTTTCTCAGCAGCAGGAGCTGGAGTGTAGCCTGCTGAGCCCTAACCTAACGGCCTGGCTGCAGTGAGGATTAAAGCTTGATTCATTAGATGCTCACTACATGGTAAAGACTCAATACATTTCACGGGCTATCTAACTACTGCCAGACACCTGTAGTTCCTGAGTACTGTAAATTTTAACAAACAAAGACGGGGCCACTCAGATGGTTCACCGGGTACAGGCACTTGCTGCCGAGCTGACAATCTGAGCAATGTCACCCGTAGTAAGAGAAAACGACTCCCTAAGACATGCTACACCCACCCCCCTCCACAGTACACAAATCACCAACACATGTAACTTAAAGATAATATTTCTAAACTTTTAAAAAGAAAATTAACCAATACAATCTATTTAAAGATACTAACACTCACCTTTTCCCCCCGAAACCATCAGAAATCAAGTTTTTTTGTCATTTGGTCGATAATGTGTATTTCCAGCACAGTTCTCATGGCCTCTCTTCTGCAGCATGCTGCTGGACAGGTGCTGATAGGACACAGGCCTCTTTCCTAAGTGAAGAGAAGGAAGAGGTCACCCGGAGTCTGCCCCCAGCACCTCAACAGGACATGCAGGCTCTCAGTCCAAGAAGCAAGTGTCTACAGCTGTCTGTTTAGGACAACAGTGGTGCACACCTTTAATCCAGAGGCTGAGGTGGAGACAGGCCAGCCTAGTCTACAAAGTGAGTTCAAGGCCAGCCAGAGCTACAAAAATCAGACCGTCTCTTAAAAAGAAACATGCCAGAACTAGTGGCACTCACGCTTAATCTCAGCACTTAGAGGCAGAGCAAGAGGGATGTCTACAAGACTGAGGCTAGCCTGGTCTACACAGCCAGTTCCAGACAGCCAGGGCTACATATGAGATCCTGTCCCGAGGTAGGTAGGTAGGTAGGGAGGGAGGGAGGGAGGGAGAGGTAGTTAGGTGGGAAGGCAGGCAGGCAGGCACACACACACTTAAACTGGGCACCAACACGATGGCTCAGTCAGTGAAGGCACTTAAGGCTGCAGAAGACCGGAGACTGAGGATGGAGCAAGAAAACAACCCCAGTGTCTACCCACATCACACACACCATAACGAAACAAGCAATGTACTTAAGCCGACACAGACCATAAACAAAACTCTCTGCAACAGGAAAAAGGTCAGACTTACGTGAAAGACCATGGAATACTCGACACCTAAATCCACAGGGAACAAAACCTATCGCTTCCTTCAGGAGTAGGGAGGCAGCTCAGCTGGTGCAGTGTGCCGAAAGCACGCACCAGGCCCCGGGTTTGATAGCCCACACCCACAAAGACACGTTACCACTTCATCACCACTTTAATGCAATCCACTGAAGCAGAGGAGATCTCCTGGTTTTCTCTCCAGCAGGAAGTGCCCAGAACACACCACACTGAGAGCAGTTCTCAGGGCTTCACAACACAAGTGAAGTGGTGTACAGGTCTACACAATCTGGACTTCCAAACCTAGACTAGACTGCCTCTCCCGGGCCAAGCCTACAAGGTCTGCTGACTGTGGCTGTCTGTGGAGCAGCACAGACCCACAACCCCATGATGCAGACAAGTCTGCAAGAGAGACACATGGACTACTGTCCTCCAAGCACTGGAAAGCACCAGAAAGCTCCATGAAACTCTGGAAAAGAAACTATTTCCCTATGGGAACTCTAAAGTCATCCACAAGAGGACCACTCCCCCCCCACAAGGCGACCTCCTCAGCAGACCAGTGTACCAATGCCACACACAGTCTCTTCAGCACAGGAACAGAAAAATCCCAAATCCCACCAGAGGTTTGGAGTGTCGGCCATGACTTGTGGAAAGGAGAAGAGGGTTGTGACAGAGGCCTAAGCAGGATCTCAATGGCACCCACATTTTGTTGTTTTTTTGTTTGTTTGTTTGTTTGTTTTGTTTTCCCTTGGGAACAGGTCTATATAGCCCAGGCTAATCTCAAAAGCCTCAGTCACCCAGTGCTGGGATGACAGACATGCACCACCATGCCCAGGTACCTTGACTTCAACAGTAAGGAAAGAAACTACTTTTAACTTGTTTTTATTTTTGTTTTATTCTATATTATTTCCTTAAGAGAAATTCAAGACTTAATCCTTTAAAGTTAAGCTCTGAAGGCCCATAATCCATTGCTGCGTGTTGGGTATGGAAGAATGCTTGCTTGGGCTCCCATGGCATGTATGCCTAAACTCAGTGCCAACCTAGTGCCTGGGTAGTACCTTCAAGGGCTGGGCTGGCTCCTGTGTGTCCCACAGGTCCACAGGTGTACAGAGGTCCGGAGGCGTTGTAGGGCTTCTGCACAGTCAACACACTGGGGGACTCCACCTCCCCAGGGCTCAGGAAACGGGCTTTCGGGGCCATCACAGGCGATGGGCACACACACTCTGGTAACAGCGAGGTGATGCTCCTGACCACATGGTACTTGGGTAGCTCGAAGCCCCTTCTGCCGTTGGGTCCAGGATGTTCTGGGTCCAGGGCCACCACGCTGGACTTGAGTCTTTTGGGAAGCGGCTCACAGAACTCAGCTGCGGCGCTGCCAGCATTCCGATGGCAGTAGTAGTCTCTCCCTGGCGGCCCCCACGGGCCGTCAACCTTCATGGGATACTCGAGGGAACCATTGCCGTTACTACTGCCGAGGGGGGACTGAGACTGGGCAGCTGGCAGGGTCTTATGCTTCAGCTCGGGTCTTTTCACTTTATCCGTAGCAGCAGAGACACCACCTTTGGGCAACAGCTCTGCCTGCTGCTGTCTGGTGGCCCCGGGACCCCCGGCACTGGGCTGTGATCTGTGTGACTTCAGGTTACTCGGGGCTAAAGTGCTGTTGTCTGGCCCTGATGTCTGGGGAGCTTTGCTTGGCCCGGAGGTGCCCTGCCGGGCCTTCTCCAGGAACAAGGACTTGGCCTGTGATGAGAAGGCAAGCTTAGTCTTGGGCTTGTGCAGGCCGGACAAGGGAGGCACATCTTTGCCTAGCAAGGCAGGAGGACATCCTGTCCGCCTGCTCCTCAGCACAGACTTGCTGCTGCAGCTCTTGTGAGTGTCGGGATTGTACCTGTGCTCCAGTCTCTGGTGCATCAGCAGAACTTCCGGGTAAAAAGTCTTAAAGGTACAAAAGGGGCAGGCGATGGTAGGGATGAGACACTTGCTCAGAGAGAGAGCAGGAGAGGTGTGGAGCGCCCCAAGGGACAGATTCAAAGGCCTGTCTTGGCAGTCAGCACCCGGCTTGTATTTGCCGTCGGCCTCCCACTCCATCTTCTCCCTATGGCCACCTTCCCGGGCCAGCGGCCCACTCCCCTCTAGTTTGCAGGCAGGGATGCTGCTGGCCTGAGGCTCGCCCGCTGCTCTCTTTTTCGGCATGTCCAGGTAAGCAGGGGCCGGACTCTTTCGCACTTTCTCGCCACTATCGGCTGCATTTTTATGGAAATCCTGAGTATCCTTGTTGTGTGCTGGTGAGAGGCGGGCGCTGCCCAGAACACTCGGGAAGACAGAAGGCGGCGGCGGTGTCTCCTTAAGCTGCTTGGCAGGTGGGCTGCCCTTAGCATCTTTGGCACCATCGAGAAATCGCTTTAAATTTTTGGTCTGTGCACTGTCGGCAGTTAGTAGTGCTTCCTGCGGCTCCTGGCTCCGACCTTCGCTTTTAGCCTCGGCCGCAGCGTCCGCCAGCTGTTTGTCCTTGTGATGTCTCTCCAAGTGGTACCTCAGAGACGTCTTCTGGGCTGCGGCATACTCACAGAATTCACATTTGTACGGTTTTTCACCTAGAACGAGATACGCCACGTTTAGGGAAAAGCGCCAATACAACTCTGCAAGCCAGACAAACCATGACACAAAACACGGGTTGTCCCCTATCTGCCAATCTCCCTATCTAGGACATCTCAAGGGCCCAGTGCACTGAACACTTACTTAGACCCGTCTTTCCCAGAAAAAGCCCACTGCACGCTTTACTGACCTGGCCTCCCCTGCTGCCCTGTGGCAGTCTGTGCACTTTTTCAGCTAAGGAAATGGGAGCACAGGGAACGACACGGTGCTCCCAAGCCAAGGCAGGCTCATGACTTCCTAACCCATACTGCTGCCGCACTGCATCCAAACAAAGCAGCCAATATACCCTTGCTTCACTCCAAAATCATCAAGTGGTTTGTCTTCAGATGAGAACCAGAATATGGCAGCCGTAAACCAGCCTCAAAACAGGACCCCACTGTTCCAAGTTTAGGACACATAAGCCACTGAATCACAGACCAGCAGCACATCATCATCATCATCATTTTAGCTAACACATGCTTTAAGAAACAAGTCCTTTACCTGTATGCGTTCTGAGATGAATATTGAGGTAATAGTTTGAACGGAAAAACTTGCCACAGTAACTACACTCTCTCGAGGACGTGAGGGGCTTTGCTTTTCCTCCATCATCATTTTTATCTTAAAGCAGAAACAAAAATATTTGTGTAAGTCAGACGAAGCACATGATTCAGGCATGCGGACTCCAGTATTCTTGACACAAAACATTTGGAGAAACCATGAAATGATTTTTTATTTTAGTTCTGGGTAGAAGTTTCAAAGGCTAAAATAACATACCAAATGCCATAAGGCAGTGTTTCATGCCTTAGACCGTGTGCTTTTGTTTTGTGCTGTTTTGGAGACGAGGGCTCACCTGTGTAGCCCTGACTAGCTTGGGACTCAGGAATCCACCTGCCTGCCACCCTTCTGCTGGGATTCAAGGGGTGTGCCACCATGCCCAGCACTAAACTGTGCTCCTCTGTGATCGAGTACAGCCTAGTGCCCTAGGTACTCAGGGTTTGCACCTTCATCACCAGAATGACCATTTCATGGTGGAGCCTGGCATGTACTAAACCTGGCTTACTGGCCAGAGAGACCACCTTACACAGAACCAGCAATTTTATTTGGAGGCAATCAATATAAAACCTCCTAGCCACCAGCCGAAAACAGCTTGAGATGAAGAAAGTGACCACTAGAGGGCAGCAAGCACAAAGTAACTTCAACAGCAACCCTGGCTTGGCTTTGGGCAAGCACCTAGAGAAAGCTGAACAAAATTTAGCCAAGTTTGGGAAGGTGGAGTTTATGGTTTCCAAGCAATCTCATAGGCAAAACAGACCTGGCTCATCAGAATCTACACCAAAGGCAAGACTGAAGTGCCTGATGCGAAGGCCCACTGGAGACGGGCAACTAAAGCCGCTGAGGCTTCTTCACTCTCACCAGCCCACCAACCTGCCCAGGACTGTTAAGACTGCCCCCTAGTGTCAGCTCTAGCAGGAAGGTAAAATGACCCACCACAGCCATCTCTGCAAGTCTAGTCATCAGCCATGATGCAGGCAGTGGTTGATCCCAAGGACACAGGTCCCTCCTGGGTTCAAAAAGGCATATTTCAACTAGTCGTTTTGCCTTACGAAACTGATTTCCAATTACAGGCCTCTTCCCTGTTCTGCCACATGCTGCCTTCTTACTAATTTGCAAAGACAGCTGATCCATATACCTGGGCAAGAGCAGGTGTAATGAATGGACCTAGGCTATCTCCATTACACCAAATCCCCACTAGGGAAAGGGATCCATAAAACACAACTCCTAGCTTACAATGGTAGCCGAGGCTTTGGAAATTCAGCACTTTGTGAACTTCTTGAAAGCAGCCCTAAAGCCAACTGGCTGACTGCACAGTGGATGCTGCCCTTACAGTTCCACTGCATCACAGCCAGGCTCACAGCTAGCCTGCATGCAGCTGTGTCCTCAGGGTGCAGGCTTCCTGACATCACACGCAAGAGGCTAGGAAACACCTCTGACACACACAGGCTGTGGCCTCTCAACATCTGGGCCTACCTTCCAGCCTGGAACTTGACTGGACTATGCCGTTCTGCACAGGGTTGTAAACTTTTACAACTAATGTCAAACTCATCCTAGGGAGGGGCGACAGAGGTGGATAAGCCGATTTTGCAAACAGGGAAATCGCAAGGAAAGGTTGGGCAATGTGTAATGGGTCACCAGGAACCAAAGCCAGACCCTGGCACTCCCACTTGTGACAAGCCAGGCCAGGGAGCCTCCCTTAGGACCCCACAAGAGTGCCCATGAGGTCATAAGAACGACCTCATAGATGGCCTCTGTGCCTCTGCAGTGTGTGCAGGTCAGCACTGGAGATGCCCACGTGCTCCCAGAAAGTCTACTGACTGAAGATCCTCAATCAGTAGCCAGAAAAAGAACTAGGTACTGGTTCAAATGCACAGTGGTTGACAGGCCAGACAGACATAATTGTTTGTTGGCCTCACCCCGGTCTCACAAAGACTTCCAACACACCATGCAGGGCCACAGACACATCTGCACTGTTATCATTAACCTGTGGCTCATGCCCCCACACATCAGGGGTGTTCACTACTTTAAGCAGCAGAGCCCCATATTCTGTAACAATGGTTCAAGTGTGGGTGGGCAGCAAGTCCAGAAACACAGGTGGGCTCCACTGCTCAAGGCTCACACCCAATCCTGTGAACCTGGGCAACAGCTTGTTTCTATAAACACCATTACAGCACACCAAATTCATGGAGTGGGACTGAAGTGGGCCCACATGCCTGGATTTCACCTACAGACCATTTCAGAAGCTCACTCATCAACACTGGCCTCACAAACACCAAAGTGATCAGAATGCAGCAGGTGATTCCCACAGCAGGATGAGCTAACTGGTTGGGAAGCCTCCCCCACTCCTTCTGGGACCACTAGAAACCCATCTGAACGTACACAAAAACAGGGTCTTGATAGACAGTCCTGGTCTTACAAGTTAAGAACAGGAATGGCAGAGAATGGATACCAAGTCCTGGGTCTCAGTCCCAGAACTCTTAGTATCCTGCACCAGGTCACTCCAGTGCCTGAGGAGGCAAGCAGCATTCCCAGTCTCTACCCACTGTGCACCAACTATAAAAACCTGAGTCCTTTGGGAGCAGAATGTGCAGAGCCTTTCAGAACAAGACAGGATTTTGGACAGGCCTTTTAACTCCACCCCCTTACTGCAGAAAGGAAAGAAGGGCTGAGATGCTGACTACAGGGAATTTAAGCACAAAGGACTGAGATTCCAACTTGACTCCCATGCTCCAGCACTGCCTGGGAGGCAGCAGAGTACTCACCCAGATGGAGCCCTTCAGGGAGTCCATCTTCAGACCCGTCTTCAGAGCCGCCTTCTCGGTCCACAGCCCCACCATCTTCCACAGTGGCAGCAAGGTCTGGGGAGCAAGTCCCAGGCTGCCTTCCATCCACAGGCATGGTGGGGGATGGGGCATCGGCCCTCCTGTCCTTCCTGTGCACCCTCGAGTGCAGGACAAGCTGGTGGTAGGTTCTGAAGGCTTTACTGCATTCCGAGCAGTGTGTGGGCTTCTCCTTGCTGCTGGGCAACTTGGGATCGCCATCCCCAGAAGGCACTTCACTGTTGGCATGTCTAGGTTTCTCTTTGTCTTGTGAGAGACCTGGACAACTGCTTCTATTTGTTTTGGACTTTCCAGAACCTTCCGACTTAGCCCCAATCCAAATTTCTCCAAGTTCCTCTTTCTCTGAACACGAATCCTCATTGTCCGTGCTTCCTTCTTGGCCTGACTCTTTCACCTCTTCTTGGGCAACGGCCACTTTTCCTTTGGTGGCCAGCTGCCACGCCTGGTAGGTGGTGAACGGGTCAAGCTGAGGTATACAGGTGACGGGCTTCACTGCAGTCTCCGGGTGGGATCTGGGTCTCAAGTTCAAACACTGCAGCAGCTCGTCCCTCGGAGATGTGGGTTCCCCCTCTGGCTGGGCATCAGGGGCTGTGCTACTGGCACTGGAGGCAGATTCTTTGGCATGAACCTTACTGTGCTCAATGAGGCTCTGCTTATTCGGGAAGATGAAGCCACAAACCATGCAGATCTTGTAGGGGGTGGAGATGCTCCCAGCTACATGTACCTGAACCACTTCATTGATGGTGACAGGACTCTCCAGGCCCTGCTGCGACTTGCTCCTGGTACCAGACTTGCCATTGTGTGTCCGCATGTGGTTCTTCAGGAACCACGGCTCCTTGAACCTTCTCCCGCACATGTTGCACCCGTATGTGAAGGAGTCCTTGTGTTTCTTCATGTGGCTCTCAACGTCAAAAGCCCCTGGGAATGTCTGCCCACACACATCGCAGCTCAACTCTTCCTTCTCTTTGCAGTTCTTCTCCTTCGGTGGTTCTGTCGGCACCTGACCTTTGTCAAGAGGACTTAGGTACTCAGCCTCCACACGCAGGACGGCTGGCTCGCAGACGATGGGCCGGTGCTGCATGAGTACATGCTGACTGAGGTCTTCTGCATGGGAAAAAACTTGGCTGCAGAACATGCAGTCCAGGGGCATGTGCCCTTCAGCTGGGGTAATGCTCCTCTCCTGCGCAGCTCGGAAGGGGACTGCAGCTGGCCCTTTGATGGACACAGCATCATCCACCTCCACCTGGGTGCCTAGAGAGCTGCCAATGACTTCCGGCCCGTCCATGTACACGAGGAGTGACTGAGTTGGCATGCTGCCTGCCACTTCAGGGTCAGATAGAAGGGACAGTCCAGCCGACTGCTGGGGAAACTCTGGAGTTAGAATAAGGCCACTTGTGAGACGTCACTCAAACCTCCAGGAGCCCTGGGCTTGTAACTAAAGTTCAGAGGGGCACGTGTATTCCGGAGTTTAGGACAAACTTGGTGATGGAGATGGGTCTTTGCACAAACCAAGTCTGATGGCTGCCCTGTGCTGTGATTCAGATGTGAGTCAGCACAAGGACACTAGTTCTGTCTGTCTCCATTGGGTGAGTGGCTCAGTTGAGCAAGACGTTGATCCCGGCAATGTGAAGACAAGGGACTTCCAAACTCTGAAAGGAAAAAACAAGACACGGTGAGGAAGGCTCAGAAAGAGAGGGTTCGGACCATGAGTCACGTGGTCTTTCCCACAAAAGGATACTAGACTCAATTGCCACACCTTTAACTAATCCATAATGCATCCTGCTAAACACGTTTGTTAATTAAATCACTAGCATATTTCCCAGCCAATACACTTACTAAATGAGTAGAAATTCAACCAGTAAGGAGAGTTTAATCCAGACCTCTGCTCACTAAAATATAAAAGCCAAGTTTAAACAGGGAATGGCTATGACAGGCCAGCCAGACTAAGCAACATAGTGAGTTCAAAGTAAGCCTCGTCAACATAAAAGACAGTCTAAAAAAATTAATGTAATAACTCTCATAAATAAGAAGTCACACTTTAGGATAGAACTGTTACAATTCTGCTGTCTCAGACACCACCAAGATACACATGTGCCTCCTCCATACAGACTATACAAAAGCCCCAGTATGGTGGGGCTTTAATCCCAGTGCCCAGGAGGAAGAGGTAGGTGGATCTCTGCGAGTTTGAAGCCAGCCCAGTCAATATAGCAAGTTCCAGAACAGCTAGAGCTACATAGGGAGACCCTGTCTCCAAAGAAAAAAGTTAGGAAATGAGCTGACAAAATGAGACAGCTTCAGGTAATACCCTACAGCCTGTACTCAAAACGGTTACCTACACGAGACACATGAGGCCTCCATCTCAGTCACATAGAGGTCCAAGCCTCAGCGCACAACACAGGACCTTCCTCGGGTCCCCATTCAGACACACCTCAGAATGGGCATTCGCCTTGGCCCAGGACTCTGATGTGTTTGGGGCACTGGAGACTGCCAGGAAGGGTAGGGCTTCAGAAGGCAAATGACCTATCAGATGCAGAAGCCACTTACTTTGCAAGTGTCCACATTTCTAACAGGCCTCCACAGACCTGGCTCCGTGTGGCCCATCTTTCCATCAGAGAACATACCTCTCACCTTGTACTCCACCTTTCACTTGGGCACTGGCCAGGTGGAAGGAGGACTTGACTTAGCACTCTATGGAATCTGCTTTGGAGGCTGGTCTTTCACTCCTGAAGGATTAACCCCTAAAAAAGTCAGTGTCCTTCATGGCACAGAGGGCTTGTTTTTACAGCCCTGCCTCCTCATCCTAACAAGTTGGTTAATTCCAAAGGAACCAAAGGGCACCAGGCCACCTGCCACAGTTCTGTCCTTCTCCTTCTGTGTCCCACCCACTGCACATTCATGAAGCTGGCTCTTCCCCTTCTTCACACTAGGGCTGTGAAGAGCACAGAGGGGGGAAGAGCAGGCCGCTGGCAGCGCTTATCTTCATGCCTGCCTTTATTACAGTCACAATGGAGGACAAAGACCTGGAGTGGTTACCACCCTGTGACCTAACAGAGACCTAAGTTCTAGCCCAAGTTAGGACCTTCAAGGTGTCACACACAGCAAAGCTAACCCAACCCAGGCACTTCTTGTAGTTAAAACTAGAGCAAGGCTCACAAGCACTGAACTCTGTCTATGGCTGATAGATCCACACAACCAAAGCACTGGCCGCAAACGAAGCTTGGGACCGATTTTAGATGGCTACACATTCACTGACCTGACACCCACAACCCAGGCAGTACGCTCACTAGAGTATTAAGCACAGCCTCTGGAAATCTCTCTCACCCTGCCCACCCACTTCACAGGGTTAACTGCAGTTCGGGCACAGTCACCTAGTTACTAGACGCCCTTTCCTCTTTGAAGCTCTAAAATAACTATTTTAAAATGGCAGAGAAGCAATTGTTGTATCAAATAGTGAATTCCAGGCCAAACTGGGCTAGCGTGTGAAACCCTATCTCAAAAAGCTAACAGCAAACCTGCTTGAGCTGGGGTAACAGGAGAGGACAGCACCGCTCATCTGTGAAGCCTAAGCTTTTGGAAGAAGCCCACTTCTCTACAGGCTCCCTTTCTGAAAGGTTACCATCCCTTGGTTCAAACCATGACCACTAACCCAGGGGTCAGGGTAACTTATAATCCCAAGTGTCATCTGAGTACCTTCACTCATAGAGCCTGCTTCCTGGATGGTGCATTCTGTTCAAATCTGCATTCTCCTATGTTTTGAATAAAGATTCCTGCTACTTCGGGGAAAAAGAATGGTTCCAATTTCCATCTCTGAACTCCTCAGCTGCCTGAGGGAAGAGGCTGCAGCTCAAGGTAAAGATGCTCTAAAGATGGCAACCTGAGACATGCCCACTAAAGGACAAGAGGCACACTGGCCGGCCGGTGGCCAGAGAAGCAGGGCCTCATCTGGCTGAGAGGTAGACAAGGGAAGAGCAAAGCTGGGAGCACTTCCTCTTAAGAAGCTTCCAGAACAGATTCTAATGGTCACAACTATGCCCATGGTACAGCCCTGGACAGCCTGAGTTACAGCATCTCAAGACTCAGGGGCAAGCCTGTCCCACAACTGCCTACCACCACCCACTACAGTTCAGCTGTGACATACTCTCAGGACTTTAGTTCAATCTAAAATCATCCTCTGAGGAAATATAAATTTAAAATTAAAGATAAATCGTCTTTCTCTACCATCATTTTAAAGATTTTAAGGTTTTAAAATATAAAAAGTAGCATCCTAAGATCCTAAGGACAGAGTGGCTGGCTGGTTCACTGCTGTTTCTCTGGGACCTGGCACTGGATTTTGCCATTCGCTGGGTTACAGTGCCTGCCACTCCTGAAATGATGCTAAAATGAACCCAAGTGTTCACAAGATTTTCTTCCTGAGAGTCAAAAGGCCACTCCCCATGACCACTCCCTGCAACCAAGACTAACAATGGTTATTTCTAAGTGGGTGTGCAGGTGCCTGCAGAGGCCAGAAGCGGGGGGCAGAGGAGAAGCAGGGTACCAGATGCCCTTGGAGCTGGAGCTACACAGGTGGTTGTGGCCACCTGGGGTGGGTGCTGGGACTGAACAAGGACAGTCTGGAGAGCAGCAAGAGCTGTTGACAAGTGAATCATCTCTCCATCCCTCCAAGATTTTTTGTTTTGGATATTTTTATTTGAGACTGGGTCTCTCTACATAGCCCTGGCTATCCTGAAATTCACTGTGTAGACTAGACTTAGCTTCGAACTCAGAAACTGCCTCCCAAATACTGGTATTAAAGGCATTTCCCAGATTCCCCACCACCACCCCCATCATTCACTCACTCACTCACTTACTCACTCACACACACACACCCCTCACACTTATAAAGCTGACCAGCACAAACAGCTGTGCCCTGAGTTGAGGCCAGAGTGTGGTCAGTTGCAGAGCCCTGGCCTGCCATGGTAGGTCTGAACTGAACAATAACACTGCCCCCCTTGAGTGTGTCCCCTCCCGTGGTCCATCAAAACGTGATAGCAGGTGCTCCCTCTTCCTCACAGAGAAGCCCCAAGTCTTTCACTCAACTGTAAAGCGGCAGAATACTTCTTAAGGTGTTAAAATCGATTTGCTGCGCTACAATCTTTAAAGCACTCAACAGCCTTAGGATCGGAACCCATCCAAGCAGCTGCTCTCCTCTAACTGCTACCTAACACCGCCCCTCTGCCTGAAGAGTGCAGGCAGACGCAGCTCTCCCAGAAGCTGGAGTGCAGAAAGCAACAGAATCATCCCAGTCCTTTACAGACTATTTGACAGAGAAGTGAAGGGAAAGGGACATCACTGCAATGTAAGTTTGTTTGGTTGCCAGGAAAGCAAGTATTCTAACCATACCAAGCTTGTTAAAAAGAACTCTGAAAAAAATAAAAAAAACAAAGGTCTGTTTAAAAACCTTTTTAAATCTTCACTCATGTCAAGGCACCACTGAACCTTCAGTCCCACGCTCCAGGCACCGCACTCAATATGCCCTCACTTTTACAGAACACACTAGAGCTTAATGCACAGTAAGATTACTCAGTTTCACCAGGCGGTGGTGGCGCACACCTTGAATCCCAGCAGGGAGATCTCTGTGAGTTCGAGGCCAGCCTGATGTACAGAGCAAGTTCTAGGATAGCCAAGGCTATTATACAGAGAAACTCATGTCTTGAGAAACCACCTGCCCAACTCCCCCCAAGAAAAAGATTACTCAGTTTTCAGTAAGAACCATATGGCTTTGCTTTAACTGCTCAAGTGTGTTTGATATCCTTTAAGTCCCTAACTAGACATTGATGTGTGACTAAATCAACCATGAATCTCTCCCCAGTACCTGACTGTAAAATTACCAATTACACAAGACAGTGAAAAGAAAGAAACTGCTCAAAGCAACATAACCAGGGGAACTGCCACTCGTGAGGACTACTATACTTGGACTTGGGAACACCACTGTACACAGAAATACTCATAGCCACAGAGCCTTCAGATAACACATCTGTGTGTGTGCTTCCCATGAATCCCTTCTCTCACATTCTAGGTAAGGGCTATCTCCCACTGAGGATCAGGAAGGCACTGAGGACATTTACTCCTCTCATAGGCAGCATTCTGCCTGTCTTCCAACTGCTTCCCCCAGGTTAGAGGTGTCCTAACAGATACGTGAAGACACTCAACTCACTCTGACCAATGTATTTCTATCTTTAAAACTACAAAATTAGGGCTAGAGACATGGCTCAGTGGTTAAAGGAACTGGTTGGTTACTCCTCCAGAGAACCTAGCTTCAACTCCCAGCACCCACATGGCAGCTTATGGCTTTAACTCCAGTTCCAGGGGATCCAATGGTGGCCTCTGAAAGGCACAAACACACAGTGCCCAGAAGTACATGCAGGCCAAACATCCATCAGTAGATAGTTTGTAGGAAGATGGTTAAGATTTATTTATTAAGTGTTCTGCCTGTGTATATGTGTGTGAAACATCTACATGCAGTACCCAGAGTTTAGGAAAGGTGTCCTGAGCCCCTGGAACTGAAGAGCCAACATGTGGATGCTGGGAACCGAACTCAAGTTCTCTGCAAAAGCAACAAGGTGTTTTGGTTTGGTTTGGTTT